GTTTGATCGGTCAGAGCCCTCAACATTGCTCCTGGGCTCCTGCCTGACCCACTGAGCAAGGGTTCCAGCTCTATTTCTCTTCCCCTGGAAGGTTCCAGGTCTTTCCGTCCTCCATGGCCTGGCTGGTGAGGTACCTCCTGAATTCATGGGGCAGTGATTTCAGGGGCAGATCCTTCCTGACTTTAGGGGATAGTAGGGGAGCCATGTGGTGAGGTTGGCTTCGTGTGACCTTTGCCCTCCTGGGAGGATCCTGGCAGCAGGCCAAGCTGAGGTGTTGGCCAAGGTCTTGGAAAGAAAGCGATCCCGTGGGGCTTAGACTTAAGTCCCTACAGCTTGGGACCCCAACCCTAAGCTGGAGCCTACCCAGCACACATTTTACTTTTTGAAATAGCCACAGAGGCCCAGGATGTGCTGTGTACTGGACTCACGCTTCATGGCTTGAAGCAGACATGAAACTGGATGTGGAACTGCCTCAAGGATGCATCTGCTAGTGGGAGGGGCAGACAGACAAAGTGACAACCAGGGCTGCTAGGAAAAGGGATATTCGGAGGTGCAAAGCAGAGAGGAGACTTTTGCTCGGTCCCTCTACTCCCTGAACCTGTCTTGGGGGCAGGAAGCAAAGAGGACTTACTGGAGGAGGAAGCCTGCATCTAAACTAAAATCTGTACAGCAATTCAGAGTTAGCCAGGCAGAGTGGGTGTAGGTCTGGTTGGTATCAGAGTTTAAGACTGTGGTGGGATGGATGGGGCTGGAGAGGTGGGGGCAGGGGCCTGGTCGTGCAGGGCCTCAGGGGCTACATTGGGGTGTTTGGGTTTCTCTCCAGCGAGCTGCCAGGAACCCCAGAGGTCCAGAGAAGGGCGTGCATTTTGGACAGATCCTGTGGCCACACTGTGGAGTAGAGGCAGAGAGGTGGTGGTCTGTGGGGGAGCAGGCAGAACAGAAAGAGAGCTGGCCCCGTGTCTTCTGCCCACCCAGAAAAAGCTCATTGAGCTGCAGGCTGGCAAGAAGTCCCTGGAGGACCAGGTGGAGATGCTGCGGGCAGTGAAGGAGGAGGCCGAGAAGCCAGAGAAGGAGGCCAAAGACAAGCACCGGAAGCTGTGGGAAGGTGCGCCCGGCGGGGCCGTGACTTGCCCTTGGCTTCTGGCCTGGAGGAGCCTGGGCTTGAGAACCTCTTCCTCGTTACCTCTCGTTTGTTGTTTCACTGGTTATTGGTAATGGTGCCTTCGTTCCCTTTGGGTTTGGTTATTTTTGACTGTATGTTGGTCATCGTGTTTAGAAGTCATTTATAGGAGTAACTTGCAGCCGGACAGGAGCTTCTTCTCTGGAGGGTAGGGAGAGCTTTTCTTTCTGCCATTTCTGTGGGAACGCTATTCCTTTCAGGGATTCCCTGACTCCACATTCAGTGCAGGAGCTTCCTCCAGCCTCTCAGGCAGTGCGAGCCGAGGTCTGAGCACAGGCTGGGGGAGTTCTGGGCCAGCATATCTCTGCGGGGAGCTCCGTGGGGTTACAGTCATTGGGAGAGAGTGGTCACCTTAGACTTTAGATTTTCATTTCCCTTCCCTCACAAGTTACCAAAACGGGCACCCACGTTTGCCAGGATAAGCCAAATCCCTGAGGGTGAAAGCGGCTTCCGCACACTCTTACCTTCCCGCCTTCCTCTTTGCCCCGGCAACTCCTACTGCCTTGGTTGGTTTTAAGGTGACTTTTTTCATGTTTTGTCCATGTTTTGTTTCTTGCTCTTGGCAGATTGTGCTGCCATTATGGGAAATCTGAAGCCTTGGCCTTTGTTCTTGGTCTGCTTGGTGTAAGGACACACATGGTGGAAGCAGGAGCGAAGGGAGAGATGGGGCAGAAACCCATTCCAGACTAGTGAGAGGACAAAGCCTTGTGAGAAGGATTTGGAGGTGTGGCCCTAGCTGCTCACAGGGCTGGTGACCAGGAACTGGCAGCCTTCTCTCTGAGCCCGTGCCGTTGATTTCCTCCATCTTTCTTAGCATCTGCTGCGTTTTTCCTTCATTCCCTCTCTCTGTCCCGATTTCTCATAATCAGTAATTCAGTCATTCGTCCAACAAGCACTTGCTGAGTGCTTGCTCTGTACCAGGCACACCCCAGGTGTCGGCAGTACAGCACAGAACAAGATAGAGAAAGCCCTTGCCTTTAGGGGGAGGGAGGGAGTGCAGGCAGAGGGAACAGGTGCAAAAGCCCTGAGGCAGCATGATGTCTAGTTTTTAAGGAGCAGCAAGGAGGCCACGTGAGGGAGTGAGAGCATCATCGGGGAGACAAGGGCAGGTGCTGGTGGGGCAGGCTGGGCAGGCTGGGCAGGGAGGCCTCAGGCTTTTACCCCAAGTGAGGGGAGAGCCCTTGAGGATTCTGAGCAGAGGAGCAGGAGCCAGGAAGCTGGGGAGGAGCTGACTGCACTGGTCCAGGCAAGAGAGGAGGGGGCTGGGACCAGGGTGTGGGCCATAGAAGTGGAGAGAAGTAGGTGGAGTTTGGGTACAACCTGAAGGCAGACCCACCCTCCCCCAGCCTGGCGCAGGTGAGCGGAGAGGCTTCCAGTCCAGAGTTCCAGTGGCTTGTTGGCAGGGCCACCCGCCCAGGTTCCCTTCTTCCTTCCCTTCTGCCTCCAGCCTGGCTTCCACCATTTTCCACTCCTTGGAGACCCTGGGGCCTTGTTATTTCTCCTCTTTCCCAGGGGGTGGTCTCCAGCCGGCACCTTCCCTCTACCTAGAAGCACGCTTAGGCTCTGCCCCCCAGAAAGCTGTGCCCAGCCTCCACCTTCTCCCCAGTGCTGTGAAGCTGGGCAGTCTTTTCTGTCTTTGTCCTGATGGAAACTAACTTCCTAAACTTCCTTGTTCTCCTGGTTTCTGAGGCCCGGATTTCCCCCGCCCCTTTCTGAAACCTGTGAGCTTTTCTCCACCTTCATGGAAACCACTGCTCCACGAGGGCGGTCTCCTTGCCTCTACTCCATCTGCTCAGTGGGCCTCTTTTGAGCTGGGACCCTGACCTGGAAATCCAGCTGTACCTGAATGTACTTGGACCCCAGATTCACCAGGTCACCCCCTTCTCCCCCAAGCCTCCTTCCTCCCCGAGTGACAACTGCCATTGGCTCATCCTGGGTCATACGGCTGCCCATGAACGAATCCTTGGAGCCGGGAGGTACAGCGCAGGTTCTGATTGGCCAGGCCCCAGGGCTTGAGTGTAGGGTGAGCAGCCGTCCCCAGGGAAGTGGAAGGAGGGGTGTTTGCTGGGAAAGTGAAGCCGAGGGTTGAGATTCCCCTCCTTCACTGGAGTCTTCTTGCTCCTGTTCTTTGCCCTCCTGGGTTTTGGAGTGAGTAGCTGGTGACCAAGTCATGCACAAGGGTCACCCAACTCGGACTTTTAAGGGTGGTATGAGTTCCAAAGCCGATCATCTTGGGAGAGGGTGTGGGTGTGTGTTAGAGACATGGGGTGTGACTGGGGCCTTGAAAGAAGGCTGGGAGTTCCCTGCTCTGTTTTTTCCTAGTTTCTGTCTGATTTAAAATAGTCCATCTGATTTCCATATTCTCTGTGAAAAAGAATTTGGTAACGGTCTCCAAAGTGGTAAAGCAGCCAGGGAGAGTCTTCTCCTCCAGGGCAGCATCTCCTCAGGAGGTAAACCTTCCGGACCTCTCCTGCCCATCCCAGACAGAGATGGAGTTCTGCAGAGTGTAGTGACTCTGAGTGTTGACTCTAAAGCCACACCTCAAGTGCTCAGTGGTCCCTTGTAGCTGGTGGCTGTTATTTTGGACAATGCAGGTGTAGACCATGTGCATCTCTGTGGAAGGTTCTGTCGGACAGCACTGGTCTACCTGGTGAATGAGTGTTGTGCTGCGCCAGCGTGTACCTAACTTCCTTTTTTTTTCTGAATCCTTCACTTTTTTCTTGTTGTGGTAAAATTCACATAATGTACAATTTACCATCTTACTGGATTT